GTTGAAGTCAGTTTTTCTTACTCAGAAGCATCTCTTAAAATGGAATGTGCTTCATAAGCCATGTGAGAATTTTGTAGTTATTAGGGCTCATGCAACCAAGCAATTAATTTCAACAGACTCCCATTTTTTAAAATGAAAAAAAAAAAAACATTGCATAAAAACAGATTATGGAAATAAAACAGAATACTTGAATTAATTGAAATGTTGGAGCTCAGTATTTTTCAAAACCTAGAGTATGTATTCTTCAGGTACTCAGGGGATTTTATAGATGAACTTGATATCAATGTCAATCTTGATGAGATTACTTCAAGTGTTGATTTTTTTTTGCACTTGACAAAACTATATCTCTATATAACTGATTTAATTAATATTCTGCTCTGTGTAAATAGCACTAGAAATGAAAAATTAGTGGTGGGTGTGGTAGATTATTCAATTCCTCTAGGCCTCTAAATGGCACATGGATATGGTAAGTTTATTAATGGTGCCTGAAAATGTTCACCAGCCTTCCTTGTTTAGTGACACTTGACACTACAATGCTTCAATATTTATTATGAAAGTGTTCTTTATTCATCCTGACTTGTAGCCTGTTATCTGCCGGAGTCTAACCTAGGGAACTTGTTAGCAAAGCAACTTCTTTGTCAGCCAGTTTTTCCTGTCTTAAAGAGGTTTAAACCCCACTTTGTCTTGGTGTTAAATATAAATATGTCACTTCTGTGACGCAGAGTTGGTAAAACAGCTGGAAAATTCTTGAGTATAAAGTTATCCATGTTTTTTTTCTCTTCAATGAATTAATTGAACCAAAGGAAATCCGAAAGCACCTTTAAAACGAGTGTATTTTTTATTCATTAACTTTAGTAGATTTGTAGAAATATACTGCATCTAAATTAAATGAATAAGTTTAACTAAACGCAATATTAATTAGGGAAATAAGTAAGTGAGTAGATAATCTTAGGTCTACTATTTTCCAAGAACTGTATTGAGCCTGGGGGACATAATGGTTTAGTGGAAAAGACAAACACTGAACTAGAAATGATAATTGCAATGTGTTTAACAACTTAAAGCATAAGATAGTATGGGAACATGAAACAGAATAGGCTAAGTCTCACATGAGAATTCACTGATGGCCGCCTCTCGTTTAAACATAGAAGATTTTTTTGCTAGAGAAAAAAGACAAGATTCATAATTGCAGAAGCTTGATTATGAGATAGGATATGAGATTTTTATCTTATTTATTTAATAAAAGTGTTTGGAATACTTTTAATCAGACCATGAATTATACCATCTAATCTGTATTTTAAACATATACTGAAGTGTATACACTTCTGAGATAAATTAAGAAATTTGGGAAA